AAATCGTTAGGTAGCCAAAGATGATCAAAGATGACCTTGAAGAAGATCAAAGATGACCTTGAACTTCTGACCATCTGCTTCTATCATACAAATGGTGGGATTGTACATGTGCACAAAGAAGAAACTTGTTAAGTTTTAAATTTGCTTCTGTTGGTAGAACCCAGGAATCCGTGCCTGCTAAGCAAGCACTTGATCCGCTTAGGTACACATCTAACAAGTAAAGTTTAGCCTTTATTTGCCAATTTAGCTTAGCTGATACATGGCAAGCAAACATATTCAAACTCTAAGGTGTGTATGTGTGTATGAGAGCGTGTTTATGCATGTGTTTGCACGAGACACACAAACACAGATTGAGGGAGAGAGAGAGAGAGAGAGAGAGAGAGAGAGAGAGAGAGAGAGAGAGAGAGAGAGAGAAACTTTAAAGTTAAATCACAACCTCCCTCATTGCCACACTGTCACTGGTTCTCTATTCTAAACACTGAACTAGATTTTCCAGATTACAAAATACAGTCTTCTGTCACAGTTCTGAGTGTGAACCTTTCTATGTAGCTAAAGATAGTCCTTTTGAGCACCGTCTCCCACCCTTTCCTTCCTTTCCTTTCTGGCAGTCAGGATGATAATTATAATCCCTATTACTTCTGAGAAACTTTCTTTTCCACCCATGTGGCAGCTGAATCCCTGGGCTCTGCAGCAAGCTCAGGAAAAGGCAAAGCCTCTCACTCATTTTCTACATCTCCCTCATTCTTTTCTTCATTCCCTGGTGGCTTTCTTTGGACCATTTCCTGAAGACAAATAGTTGATTTTTCTGTTTTTTTTTTTTCTCTTGGGCATTGAAATATGGTGAATGTGTGGATATTAGGTAAAATGCACAGGGGATGCCTTATGGCTAATTTCTCACTTGAGGTCATTGGCCTACTTACTTAGTAGAGAAGAGTTGCATGCTCTGTTCAGGGTAGCACACAGTCTCTGAGCATCAGGACATAGCAAGCACCATTTGCCTCCAATTTTGCCTTGGTGATTGTTTTCTCCAAATAAATATTTTCTGAAAGCTTTCACTGAGTGAATGCTCCCAGTCAAAACAGAATATTATAAGTATTTAAACTTTTTTCAAATTAACCTATATAAGATGATAAAATACAAAATCTTCAGCCTTTACTTCTTTTACTACAGTGATATTTTGAAGTCTATGAGCCAGTGATTGCATGCAAGTTTTCTATGTAGATTTTCCTGCTATCTTCTCAGAAGGGAAAAGTGTTGGAAGAAAAATCAAAAAAAAAAAAAAATGAAGCTAGGTCTTTTGTGGATGCTGGGGATGGCTGTGAGATGTTTCAGTGATATTTATAGTAATAATTTTTCTTGGTGATATTTATAGTAATAATTTGTTCACAGTATGTTATTCAGGTTCCTCCTGTAAAACTGCAAGTTTTAAGATGGTGGCTAATAAACATCTAGGAGAGTTATCAAGAACATGGTTGCTCTACTTCTCCTTGAAATTCCACCCACTACTATGTGTGGTACTATTAGCAAATATTGGTAGAAGGACAATATTTACATGACTTTTTCCTAAGGTTAGCTTTACATATTTTCATTTTTCTATACTTAATATTGGAACTCTTTAGAAAGGAAGTTATAATTTTCTTTCACCTTTTAAAGTTTTTATTATACCAGTGTGGACTCCTGATATTTGTTTTATTTAACAGATTTAAACACATTTTGTTATGTATTTTGCAGCCCACTAGAAAATGTTTTAATTTGAAGCTCATGTCATTTTACTGACCCTCACACCAAGCAAGTCCTTGTTCTCCATCAGAGTTTCTAGGACTGTGTTCTAATTTTCTGACCCTTGTCCTTAATCAACAATATGTACCATTCCTTTTACATTATAAAAATATTTAAGAAGCAAGCTTTCATCATTGTTCAACAGGATTCCCTTGCTTCTAGAATCTCTTGAAACTATGGAAAATTCTGTGTAGTATATTCTAACAGACATATACAGCTGCACATCTATATATTTGTATCTATTGCTTTTATTTGTTCTTAAAAATCATGTGATTATACCGGCATTAATCTCCATATTAGAAGAAGCTGAGAAGAAGAAAGCCATAAATATATGATATATAACAGGATATTTTGATAGGGTGCAATATCAGAAAAATAATGTTAGTAGACAATTCAAAGAGGTCAAATAACCCAAATGGTAGTATTTATACTAATGGTAAGACCTTATCTGAGAAGTGAACTAAAACTCAAAAAAAAATTACTTAAAGTACTAATAAGAGTATGTGGAAACATTTAACCTATAAACTGCTTCAAATAAAAAGGAAAGAAAAGCAATTACGAAAAAGCTTTTAGTCCAATATTTCTCAATCTTCCTAGATTGTGAATTTTATTTCTCTAGGAAAAATATTTGCTTCATGAAGTAATTTTAGATTGTATCCTTAGGTATTGTTTGTATTTGCTTTAATAAATGTACAATCTTACAAAGACAAATTGAGTAATACGTGCTATATGATATCTGTGCTGACATTTCTTATGAACATAAGAACTAATAATATATAGTAAAATAAAAGCCATTTGGAGCAGTAAGATAGCTTAATGCGGGCAGGTTAGAATTGACTAGCTTGACAACCAGAGTTTGGTACCCAGAACCAACATGATGCAAGAAGAGGAGAGAACTGACTGCAATAAGTTCCCTCTTATTTCTGTCTATATACTTCCTTGCATTGGCACATACAAACACACACACACACATTCACAAGTTAATTAAAGTTAGTAAATGTTTGTAGATAAATTCGAAGATATTTTTCATATTATATATCATGAATATTTCTCTCCTGTAATAATTTTCTTTTATCCATTATGCAAAATAACTATTTTCAAGGGTATATGTAACAGTACTTTTTTTTACATACCAAAAAGCACATAAAGTTGTGCTCAATATAGTTATACATGAGTATTATAAATGCAAGTTAGAGACACAGTGAGGCATCTTCAAACCCACCTATGATAATTTGAGAGCAAAAGTGAAGATGGTAAGTACTGAAGTAACTGTCATAAAATTGGAACCCTGATACTTTGCTAGTAAGACTGAAAATACTGTAATCTATTTATAATATCCTTACATATCCAACATATGATTAACAGAGTGACTGCGTGATCTAGATATTCTACTCTGCCAAAATGGATGAAACGAAAGCATGTATAACAGTAAACCAGTGTCTTTCAGAGGTTATAAACAACCCATACTGATCATGCGTTAAAGAGAAAAATGAAATGTAGTCTCTCCTGTGGTAGCATACCATCAAAATTAAGAATACCGGTTATTGTGTGTCAATATGTATGGATTTTGAAAATGTCACTCTAAGTGATGGAAGCCAAACCAGCAACACATGGCACAAAGAATGGTCTAGAACTGGCGAAAATGGAAACAGGAGTAGATTAGTGGCTGGTCAAGACTGAAAAGAAGGAAATACATTGTTAACAGGGTTCTATGCAATTTTTTTCTAATTAAAAATTGCTAGTGACAGATAATATGACTATATTCAAATAATAAACTTTACACATTACTGGAGGAACTTCCTGGCCTATGAATTAAAACTCAGCTATGATTCTTCAATGAAATTTATAGTTGAAAGGGCAACTTACTGAATTGAAATACTTAATTATGTTAAAAAAGTAGTTTTAATAAAGAAAAGTTTAATGGAATATATAGAATTAATGACTTGTGCCTATTTTTAATCAGACAGAGCAGTGCCTAAAAATAAGTAAATAAATAAAATAAATAAAAAATTAAAACCAAAAAACAATGTTAATGAATTTTCCTCTGTATGAACAGCAGTGAAGTTGGACTAAAAGTTCAACATTATAGTTCTAATATTCGAAGACAAAACTAGTATGAAAAATATTGATACACCTGATAATGTCTCTATTCAATTAATTCATGTCTAATTATTTTCTGTACTTTAACTGGATCAAACGACTGAGTATTTTTGAAAATAAACCATCCCACCCATGATCTCTCTACTGTCATTGCTGAAATTAAACCCTTGTGAACATGCAGAATACAAATATTTCTATTAAGAATTTGTATAAATTTCTCCTGTGGGACTCTTTTTCATCTCAGCAGAAAAGAAACGCAATTAGAGACAAGATGGTGAAGTCTACTTTACAGTGCCACTGAGCATTTTCTGTTTTTCTATTAGTGACTCCTTCTAATTACCATACTTTCTGGAAAAGAAATTATGCATTGTAATCTTTTTGCTTTAGTAGTTCAGTTAAATAGCAATCATTTAAGTTTTGGAGAAACAAATAAGCAATCAAACAACCCACCTGGACCAAAAGCACAAAGTAGAATATAGTTAGATAATCAACATTTTGCCTTCAATACCAAGTCATTGATAGAAAGCAAAATGGATTTCAGTACAGCATTTGTGTTCTAAAGTTAAAGCAACATATTCATTCACTCCCCAAATTTTCTTTTATCATCCAAATCAAAACAAATTCTGTATATTTGAAACTATAATAATATACAAAACAATTCCAAAATGTTTTATTGCTTGTTTCCAACTACCTGAAATGTACATAATATGGTATACTCATATAACTATTAATAGGTAGAAAAGCACAATTTTGAGATCAATTATGAACACAAAGTTTTATCATAACATTTATTTAAGACCTTATTATTCATAAAATCTCTTCAGGAAAATTTTATTTACTATAAAAGTATTATTCATGGAAACTAACTATAAACCCATGAAACAATGTTGAAACTTAGAATGTTGTTTATAAAAATTATAACAAAATTAGTGAATAAGATTAATAACCAGTAAGATCAACTCTATTCATGTCTTAGGCCTCTTATATTATTCATGTATTTCAAATGAAGATAATGCAAACAAAAACAAATGTAGACAAATAACTATTTGTATATTTTGGTTTACTATAGGTCTATATCACACAACTACCAATTAAATTATCTTAAGAAAAAATATACTTACTGCCCTCTAGAGGTATGAACCAGTAGTGTAATAAGTGTAGATGTAGCTGGGCATATACAGTTTAAAGCTAACATGGCGTATTTAAACTCCTCTTCACAAACAACATGATCTGTTTGAAATAAAATAGGTAAAAAATTATTCTAATTTACCTTTTGAGGGTATTATGTTTAAATATAAAAATAGAACAATGCATAAAATTGCAAAAGTCTCAGTATAAACATACTTATTTTAGGGTTGTTTTTTCAAGTGCAATGCTATTTCCAGAAAAACATTTTGTAAGATATAGTGATGGAGAATGATTTCATGACGGTTGCGGGGCTCTGAAGGTAGAATTCTAATCCTGACAAAACGGGGAACCTTGATAAGATGTTGAAACTGCCTGTGCAAGGAGGAGAGCAACATTTGGTTTGAGTTGCAGTCTGGAAGACTTTTCAGGTGATTGGTGAAGGTCCTATGAACCTCCACCTTTCAGGATCACAAATCCAATAATATTGGTTTTCTAAAATCATAAGCAGACAGTATTACACTTCAAAATTTTTAAAATATGTGGTATGCTATCTGATAAGCACAAGTAACATGCTTTATACTATCAGAGCCAATGTAATGATGTCTAAAAGTATTATTAAAATAAAAACAGCACTGTAAATAACATAAGGTTCCTAAACTCAAAGCTGGGTAGGGTCCAGTTAAAGTTAGCAAGTGGTGCCTAGAACTCAGTGACATAAAAGAAAAAGAGTGCTAGAAAGGATGATAGAGAGAAGTGCCACCACATCTGTGGGAGACAAATTACATTGTCACCATATAAGAATGATGCCCTAATATGACACTTACTTGATTTTCTACATAAAGCATACTTTTAGCAAAGGAAATAAACTATTGTTAATCTAAAAGCAACCAACCCCAAGCAAAGTATTTAAACATTAGTATTAGAAATTGAGAACCTAGTAAATTTCTAAAGAAATATATACATTCTTAGACAGGAGATAGAAATTTTAGCTAACAGAAAGAGATGACGATTGAAGTCGTTTGTCAAACAAGCATAAGTACCATGCAATCAAGAACGAGTGACTTCAGAAATAAGGTAGCAATGGCTCTGCTACAAATTATAGCAATATGATTTCTAGTTAATGTGGTTGAGCATATAAAAGAAAAGATCACTGCTTATTAGTTTTGATTTTGTTTAAATGTTGCTTCCATTTCTTTTTGTTACAATTCACACGAGAAATATTACACTAGTTATACCTCAGAATTTAGTCTAATAGGCATGAAGTATCTGGTAATAACTACTGCATCTTTCACTCCCTTAGCCCCTTTCTCCCTTCCTCTCTTCCCCCTTCAGATTATCAGTTTGTTTAAATGGAATTTGAGGAAGATTTTAAAAATACATAGCAATGATATTTAATGTTTTGCAAAAGGGGATCAGATTCTAACTCCAATTTGAATATTGAGATCTGTACTGAATATTTGCAAAAGAACAGTGTATTTAAACCACCCTCTCGATATTTCTCAAAATAATTTTTGAATGTGCATGTCTAATCTGTGAGAGGAAGGCAACAAAGATGTTAAAAGGCAGAATGCAGTTGCTTTAGACTCATATCTTTAAAATGCATAGGGGACCATGATTTTAAACTAACACTTGCAACATATGATCTGCAAAATATATACACACTTCATAATATAACATAAGACAGGACTTTTAAAAATCTAAACTGTAACAGAAAGTTTGGAAGCTTGATTACCATATGCACCACCACAAGCAGTTATCGATTTTCACTAAAAGGCATAACCATATTTCCTCAAATAGAACAACTTGGAAACTGTAGTACATGGGTGAGGCTTTGGAAATGTTTCATCATGTTTTCCTTCAATGGTTAAGAATGAGGTATTGTGGCCTTTTTTTGTTCAATAGTTATCAGAATTTTAATGAATGACTATGGTACAATTGTATGATGAGCACTTTTTTCACTCAAAAGCTGTATTATTTTTTATTCTGCTAATATATTAAAATCCACACATGACACTTTTCCTCAGATAAAGACTTGTAGTACCCACCAGCCCTTCAAGCTTAAAGCACATCTGCTAGAAGTACCACCACACTAACATAAAGTAGGATCTGCAGTATTTCAGTGTCACATTCTGAATTATCTACTGGGGAAAAAATGCATGTAAACTAAGATGTACTTTACTGTCTTTAGCATAGCATGTGACTCCCTAATATTACTTCATTATATTCAATCACTATTTCCTACTAGTGACAGCATCCATTACTGGCGTGGCTATGGGTGCAAGCCTCCCTCTTTATATTGCATTTTCTTGTCTATTTTACTTCAACACTTACATAGGAACAATTCATGTTTCATTATTATGCATATCTGCCCAACATTTTTTAGTAAAAGAAGTGTTAAAAGTACTTACTGTACAAAGGAGCTGCACAAGGCTGGCAAGCATGAACAATGAATACAGAACTCCTTGTTCAACAAGTAAAGCCTAAAATAGAGGACTAATTTCCAGATATATAATGAACACCAAAAAACCCTGGATATCAGAAAACAACCCAATTTAAAAATAGGATGCAGATCTAAGCAGAAAATTCTCAAATGGCTAGGAAAGACTTAAATACATCTTAAACATGCTTAGATACTAGGAAAAAGCCAATCAATATTACTTTGAGATTTCATTTTACACTAGTCAGGATTGCTAAGATCAATGAAAACAAGTTATGGGTAACACTGGCGAGGATGTGGAGTCAAGGTAATGCCCATAAATTGCTGGTGGGATTGCAATTTTTAACATCACTATGGAAATAAGTGAGGTGGTTTCTTAGAAACATGGAAATTGATCTACCTCAAGTTCTAGCTATAACAATCTTGGGTATATATGCAAAGGACATTTCACAGTACCACAGAGACACTTGTTCAACAGTGCTCATTGCTGCTCTGTTAATAATAGCCGGAAATTTGGAACAACCTAGATGCCCTTTGTCAGACAAATGAATAAAGAAAATGTGCTACATTATACAGTGAAGTATTATTTATCCTTTAAAAATTGAAATCATGAAAATCTCAGGTAAATGAATAGAACTAGGGAAAAAATACCTACCCTTATTAGGTAATCCAGAAAGACAAATATGGTACTTAGTCACTTAATATATGGGGAATAAACAAACCAACCAACCAAACCTTTTTTTTTAAAAAAAAAAAAAAAAGCAAAAACTTTTTTTTTGATATAAGAATTTTTCCTATATGAGGGCTAAAGATATGACTCAGTGGATAAAAGAACTGGTTATGCAGCTATGTTTTTATAAGCCCAAGTTTAAGCACATAAAAAACTAAGTAGCAAAGGAACCAGGCTATCCATGTGTTTCTGTGATCCCTTGGGACAAGGATACCGAGAACTTAGCAACTAGTCATTTTAGCCCAAACAGTGAGCTTCGGATTCAATAAGGGAACCTGTCTCAAGGAATGTGGCATAGAGTGATAGAGCAAAATTGTTGATGATGTCCTCTGACCTCCACACCCTGCATACGTGAATCACAAAGACAAAAGCACTACACTCTACACACACACACACACACACACACACACACAGACCTTGCCAACAAATGAAACTGAGTTACTCTTCTGGGCTAATGCCATCTTCCTAATGTGATTTGATGTCATGTAAGTCACCTGTGCTCTGAAACCTGCTAACCTACTTAATCCTGCTGACCAATCAGGCCAGTCAATCATATGTGGTATTCGTAAATTAAAATTCAGTAAGAATAGAACCATTAAAAGAGTGCAATAACAACTGTGATTGCTGACCAGCATGCGGGGCAGGATGACAGGCTTTTTTTTTTTTTTTGTCAGCATTAGTCTCATTGCACAGGCTTCTTCGTGTGTCAAGTGGATTCTCATAAGTTATAAAAACAAGTAGGTATTTGCAAAATCCTCAGCATATCACTCACCAACAGTCAGAACTTAGACAACTTCCTAACATAATGCACCATTCCTATGTACCTTCTGTGTCATATGGCAGCTAAAAATGTTCATCTCTAACAACAGGAGAACAGGCAGAACATATGGGGATGAATACAAGCTGGGATGTCCTTGTGGAGGTTTATTCAAGTTATGCTTTTCTTACTATGGCTGTATTCTCTTAGTCAAATAGATGGAAATGATTAGGAAGAAGGTGGCAAACTAGAGATTGCAGATAATCTGTTGTTTTCTTGTGATTTTTTTTCCCTTTAGTTTCACTAAAATGCAGAAAAGCCAGGAATATTGCTCATTTGGTAAAACGATTGTCTTACAAACATGAAGACCTAATTTCAATCCCAAGATACATAGGGGAAAAAAGCCTAATGAAGTGAGACACACATTTAAGCAGAGATAAGAGTGACAGCTGACCAGTGAACCTAGCCTCTTTGGCAAATCTCAAGCCATTGAGACTACCTTCTCAAGCACCAAAGAGTACAGTTTCCTGAGAAGCACATCCAAGACTGATTTCTGGCATCCATGCACAACCACATCCACATACACTCATACAAGTGATCTAATATGAGGAAAAGGAAAGTGGGTCTCTTTAGTAGGGAGAGAATGAGTTTCTCCATGCGAAGGAGGGATGTGGGTAAAAGAAAAGAAAGTATGTCTGCAAAAGCCACAAGGTATCATAATATATGTCAATTATGTAGTTAAAAAAATCCCTATAATATATGCAACTCCAATTCCACATAGAAACTTTATTCATGAAACTGACAGTTCTCTCTGCAAGAGCCAAAGACTACCTAACAAAAACACAAATATCATACAATTTTTTTGAGAGACAGTCCAAGATATTTTGAGGCTCTTGTGAAAGGTATTGTTTCCTGATTTCTTGTTCAGTCCATTTATGTATAACAAACACCATCTGTGTATAGACAGGCAACTTACTTTGTGTGTTAAATTTGTATCCTATACTTTACTGAATATGTTTATAGCTTTAGAAGAAACCTGGTTGAATTATTGGTGTAGTTTATGTATAAAACCAAATAAATGAATAGAGATCCTTTGACTTTTTTTAGTCCTATTTCATCTTTCCTTCTCTTCCTGTAGATGTCTAGTTCAATTCCCTTATTATTCCAACTGGGACTTC